CTCCAAATTACATCAAATGAAATGGAAAAATAATATACAACTGCAAGCAATATAATTACATACATTGTAGTAGTATGCATTACATAATTGGTCCTCAAAAAGAGAAAAGCATCTATAAATGTATTCACAAGAAATGCTGCAACTTACTGGATACCACTTATACAAAATTACAAATGACTGCTGCCATATGCACTAGTCCATTCAACTATATATAATGTGACAACCATACAATGGACAAAAATGAGGCAATAGAATTGATGAACATAGAAGAACTGCTGTTAACTGGGAATCCACTCCATCACCCAACAGTTCACATGGTCAGTAAAACCTTGTACTGTCAACTACAAAAATGATGTGAAAACTACAAATAGCACAGCTTTGCCCCTCCCCTAAACCCATTCATTAATCACTCACCCCCTCGAAATAGTCGATATCAGCTTGAAATCCATCCTTCCGCTATCCACAAAGTGCATGTGCGCACTTGCCCCATCATCCCTTGAGTCCCACGTAATCTTCACAGGAACTTGGCAGATCGCCACATGGGATAATGACAATGAGTGTGCCAATGCCCCTGCTCTACCTGCACCGTTCCTCATGCCACTGGATGTCAGCTATGACGAGCAGGTGATGGACATAGGTCCTTGGTACAATGTGGGTCGAGAGTATCAAAAATCTACCAGAGGACGCATGAGCATCAATGGTAGTCAGTGGTACTCGAGAATGTGTAGGGGTAACTGGGAACTTACTTGTGAAAAGTTCAGACCCTTGTCATTTGCTATCGTTGTGCAGTGTCATCCGCTGTCATTGTGCATTGTCATTGTCATCATGCATCGTCTGCTGGGGCTGATCCACGTCAACTGCCAAAGACCTTCAACTGCAAGGGGGGAGATGACAAGAGGAACTCACCACCTCAGAACACCAAAGGTAATGAGAGATAACAGTGTCTGGTTCAAACAAATGTAAACCTAGTGTTTGGAAGTCCGGTCTCGTGACTGGAAAAAGACCGTAACCAGACCGGACCAAGACCGCAAAAGACCGGACCTGCGGTTACGGTCTTTTATTTTTGAAATGTAAAGACCGCAAAAAAACCGGTTAACGTGAACCGGTCTTGACCGGTTTGGACCGGTCTTTTGTAGCCCCTTAAATACCCTTTAAAACGCACCCAAGAACGTACGATTTGGTAAAAAAACGAGAGAGATATGAATTAAAATGTAAATTACTTTTGGGAATAATAGATGTACCAGACTTATTTTATAGAAGCACCAATTCCTAACGGAATTTAACGTTCTTGGGCTCGTTTTGAAGCTATTAGAGATGTTAATAAATTTACCGATTCATAATTTTAAAATATTGGCCTAAAGACCGGTCATAAACCGGTTAAAACTGATGCAGACCGAAACCGGTCTATAGACCGCAAAAAACCGCGGTCTGCGGTCTTTTTGCGGTCCGGTCTGGTCTTTTGACTTCTGGGGAAAAGGCAGACCGGTTACGGTTACGGTTAACGCCCCTGGGCATCAAAAAACCGGACCGAACCGGACTTTCAAACACTATGTAAACCAATGCGCCGTGCGCGTGGTGGATTTGTTTGTTCAAGTTGAAAGACGTCGG